TTTTATTTGTGCAATGGGTTAGACAAGCTTGAAGAGGAATTTTGACACAATCCCGATAACTCAAAGAGTTCACTCGCTATCGAAAGGTTGCAGGTTCGAGCCCTGCGTCGGTCAAGGCCGGCTGGCTCAATGGTAGAGTATTCGACTACGGTGAAGGGGTTGTTTTTTATTTGCAGAATTTTTGCCCGTATTCCTCATCCTGTGTTGAAGAATATGTACTGTCTTCTGTGCTTCATATAGTGCTAGTGGTGCTTTATTTTCCTGAGCTTGTCTTCTCATAAGTGAATATAATTTTTGCAATTTGTCAAATGCTGCTTTTCATTCTCAAAATGATGTCTTTGTAACCTCACCATAACTCAATTTGCTATTGGCAGACTCTGTAAGTAATTCTTCCAAGCTCTCTCCTGGTTCAAAACTTCACAGATATTCTTGAATTTGTTCAGCTGCCGAGATGTCACTTGAGATATGTACTAGTAAAGTAGTGACTAATTGAGAATGTTTTTAATATAATATTTTTGTAGCATATGTTATTTTGGATTGTATAACTACAATCATGATTGCATTTGTTTGTCGTCCAACATTTCCATTTTGGTTTGTTTTCGTGTTGTTTCTTCTTAACCTTCTCCTTTGTATTTGTTAATTCTAGGAGATTGTCTAATGAAATCGTTTCGTACAAGATATATACGTCGATTGACTTTGAGAAAATCTTCCGATTTGTGTCTCCCATTGAGCTTGGTTGCATTGAATATTGCATCTGATATTTTGTCATTATTTTGAAATGTAAAATATCTTATCAATTAAAAAGTTATCCGTTATATTAAAATATGATAGTTGTTACCTTTTCTCTGTTATTGAACAAGTAACCTTGACACTATCAGTTATATCTATCATGATTTGATCTGTCTCAGGGAGTTGAGCAGACTTTTTTTCTTAATTATCCAAATCAAAATTGCTATCTAGTGTATTAGACATCTTTAAAATGGAGGCGGAACTTTTCAAAGTATAATGGCTTACATCTTCCAAGCTTCCATTTCCACGTCAGGCATTGAATGAGCCGTTACCATGTTAGATCCTACGGACAACAGGAATAAGACCGATGTCGTAAGCAAGAGCTGATACAAAGGTATTTTTGGTAATACATTCTTACCAAGCATCCTATACAATAAAGCGATCATGTGTGCCGATAAGACAAGTCCTATAAAATATCTCACTAATACCAGTAGTATAGATAATAACGTGCTCTTATATAAGTATACGTCCGCCATCTTGGACTAATATATGTCACTAATGATATGCTACATTTACAGTTGAAGTTTCATTTTTAATTTAGTTTCAAAATTCATTTTTGTTCTTTTTCCTGTTGATTATCAAAAAATATGTATTGGATTTCAACAATTTAGCTCATACATTAGTACATAAATCACCATCTATTCTGATTTCTATAGGTTTACTGGCCATTGCTTTAGCAATACATTCATGATAAGCAGTTAGAGAAAGTTCTTTATATGAAGTAAACATCATTAACCTCAACAATAATACTTGTGAGAATTACAGGCTGTCTGTATCGGAGTTATAGACAGCAGACTAGCCTTTTTTTTTAAGAAAAAAAAAAGATGATAATACTGTTTTATACATGATGCCAAGGACACTGGATAAGAGGCGTGTAACCAAAGGAACAATGGAAGAAGAATATGCGATAGTATAAAACCATCTTATGAAACATATATATGTAGCCAAAACATTACTTCTAAAACAAGAAATGTAGGTGCATAACCGAGAGGATGGGTGGTACCAGAGTTGTCTTACATAGTTATCTCAAACCTCCTTTTTTCGTAAACCAAATATCCTGTGACTTAGCTGGTATGGTGAAAAGTTAATATGATCTTCTCAGGACTGGTCCGCTCTGGACTTAAGATGATGAAATCTAAACATATCGACGATACAAAGTTTAAATGCGTCCATCAACACATGTCATAGTAAGTGGATTTGAATAAGATGCTAAATCAGCTGTAGGCGTTTCTTGACTAGCGTCGTAAAACGTCTTCATGATCTGCGTTTCCCCGAATGTTCTTGCTTACACGAAACCACTGGTGTATCTTGGATACGAAGTCAATTGTGGTTTGAAAAACTCGTAAAGGGCTTGAAGAGCTTGTGCGTTCCTGAGCATTGGACCTAATTCGAACCGAATGTTGATCTTGGTTATCTTTCTTCGCAAGGTGATTCTTGCCATTATGTGTCTTCTACATATAAATATTCTATGCGAGATGCTATCATCTATGTCACACGTCCTGCATTTCGGTGAGCCGATTAGTTTGAATCGGTATCGGTATGACTTAGTCGTAGGGAAGTGACCTGTACGTAGCTGGGTTGCCAGGCACCGTGTCGCTCTGGGTAGTTCATTGAGGATCTTAGCAGTTTTTGCAGCTGTCAGCTTTCCGGCTGATGCTTTTGAGGTATTGGACTTGATGCTGGGTAATCAGACACCTTATTTGACCCTTTGTCCGTCTTTCCGGTCTGAGACATCAAGAGGATCTGCTTAACATACTGACCGCAATCAAGGTCGCATAAGGTTACAATCCCATTAACACAAAGTGTTCACTCGTTATCGAAAGGTTGCAGGTTCGAGCCCTGCGTCGGTCAAGGCCGGCTGGCTCAATGGTAGAGTATTCGACTACGGTGAAGGGATTGCTTTTTTATTCTGCAGAATTTTTGCATGTCATAATCATCTATTATATGAATCAAGTTTTTACCCATACATAGAAATATTTTTGGCAGTGAGTTATTTTAAGGAAAAGTAATCTATATTAATACAGATAGAGAATTTATATTGTTATCAATTCTTTACCAGTATTCTTTGTAATTTCCCTCAAATAATCTCTTGTCTAGCTCGACGCATTAGTGTAACTCTATACCAAACACAACCACAGCAAAATGGAAATACGTCAGACATCAATGACATAGAACGCTAGAGATCCCATGTTCAGCAAGGATAACTCCACTATCAGAAACTATGACATTAGCAGACAGCACTCTTATGTCTAACTTTCAGACTGTCTCTAACAAACCGAAGGAAAGTGTTCAAATTTAGCGCATTGTCGACAGTACTAAATGCTCAGTGATATCCTTCCAAGAAGTATATTATATAATTTCCAATAAATGGCATCTGAGGTCTCCAACCAGGGCATCGAAGACGCGCTTTGCATTCTCGACACTTAGCACTCATTTGTTAAGCCAACGCTGAACGCGTTACAAACCACATTGAGGTTTTCTAGTTATACTTTTCTTAGTATTGTATATTAAGATTACTAATAAATTCCATAAAAGTTGTTTATCTAACAATGCTTTAGTTATAGTAAAATACATTAAATTAGCGAGAACAATAAGAAGGTTTGTATTTCTATATCCGCCTACTCTGTTGCAGTTTTAAGCTAATCGATTTGTCAGTCAGTGAAGAGCTAATCAATCATCTAACAAACCTGAAGGCCGTGTATACCAGCGATATCCTCCTTAAGAGTTTCATTAACTAGACGATGTTGTTTGACAGTAGTAAGACCTTTGAAGGAGTCCGAAGCGATATTGATGGCGTAGAAAGAGCCGCATCCACCTGAAGAAATGTTATAAGGTAATAGCGATATTTTAGTATGTAAGTACCTGATACATCCTCAACTTGTAGTCTAATCGGCTTGAAACTCTCGGTCAACTTCTGACGAATCCTGGCTTCTCCAGCGAGTGGCTGTTCAGTTGTGTACGAGCGTATACTTCTAGAAATCTGTGTAGTTGGCTGTCTACCACCTGCTACTCTTCTGAATGCGTTAATAATCATGGTGACCTAAGTGGACGAAAAGGAAGAGGGTTCATTCACAACGATGATCATATCTGGCGGTATTTTACGTAACGGCGGTTTTTCATGCTTTAGAGCGACAATAAGGACGCCTCCTCTGCGCTCTTCTAAGCAGCTCAAACAATTTAAGCTCCAGTCTTCTTTATCGCTCAGATCAATGAGCACACCAGCACAGCTCCCTAAAATTACACAGCCAGCTGTCAGCAAATGGCTCTACTCGATATCAGCACTGATAGCTGGTATCGTTGTTGTTGGTGGTATGACTAGATTGACAGAGAGTGGTCTGAGTATCACAGAATGGAAGCCGATCACTGGTATAGCCTTACCTAGAGGTGATGAATGGATAGTAGAGTTCGATAAATACAAGCAAACACCGGAATTCAAAATGTAAGAAGCAACTTTTTTTTCATGCTCTTTTGTCTAACAAAGAGCAAAGGCTTAACAGTAGAATAGATCTCGAAGACTTTAAGAAGATATACATGATGGAATGGGCACACAGGATATTCGGCAGAGCGATCGGCGTAGCATTCATTCTACCAGCTGGATATTTCATCGCGAGGAAGCAAATTAGCAGAGGTATGAAGTGGGCTGTCGGTGGTCTTGGCCTTGGATTAGGTTTCCAGGGTTTCCTGGGCTGGTACATGGTTGAAAGTGGTCTGAAAGAAGAAAATTTCGCTCACGTAGGTGCACACCCACGTGTCAGTCAATATCGCTTGTCAGCACACCTTGGTGCTGCCCTAGCACTCTACGTTGCCACACTTTATGCCGCTTTTGCAGCAGCTAGAGATTTCAGAGTTGGAAGAGGTGGTAGTGTGAGTGGTGTGAGCGATCCCGAGAAATTCCTCGGTAATGGTGCTACTTCCTCATTAAGAAGATTCAGAGTGATTGCTCGAACTGGTTTGGGTGTTGTCTTCTTGACTGCACTCAGTGGTGCCTTCGTCGCAGGCCTTGATGCTGGATTGATATACAATGAGTTCCCATGGATGGGCACTGGTATTACACCACCTAAAGCCGAGCTTTGGGATCCAAGATACTCACAAAGGGAAGACAGAAGTGATTTATGGTGAGTTATATGGCTTTGAACATTGAGTACCGACTGATAGAATCATCTTTAGGTGGAGAAACATGTTGGAAAATCCATCAACTGTACAACTGGACCATAGAATAATGGCAACAACGACTCTCATTGGCACACTAGCAATGCATGCATTGGCATTGCGTAGTCCAACTATGAGGAAGAACCTGCCACCACTCACGAAGAAGCTTCTCAATTTGACAACAGGTGTCTCATTGATGCAAGTAACGTTGGGTATCTCCACACTTCTTTATCTTGTTCCAACGCCATTGGCTGTATCGCATCAAGCCGGATCAGTTGCACTACTTAGTTCATACGTCGCTCTAGTTGCCTCATTACGTAGACCGGGATTAGCAGCACGAATGCATCAACGTTTCATGCAACAACAGAAGAAAGCCGTTTAGAAAAGCTATTATACCGACATCACCGCTCAGATAGACATAACTTATCGTACAATAATTCATGCATATAAAATTCAGTTCAATTTGGATTACATTTCTACTCTTGCATTGTAACATCGCCGGTTGTCCTTTGCTGAGTTTCTTCTTCTTGACCAAGTGCGTCAATGTATGGCTTTACGTTATCACCCTCGAGTATTCTGAATGAACCCTCAGCTTTAACGCCTTGTTCGTTTGGACCAGGTGGACCGACAATTGCAATGGAGGTGTTAAGAGGTGTGAGTGTCTTTGATTGTTGGAGAGATGCTTTCAATGATTGCAAACCGTGGTTTATAAGAGTGTTCAAGTCACTGCCCTCGAAGTTGTCAGATTCCTTTTCCAAGTATGTTTTAGCCATTTGTGAGCGTGCTCCTATAGACATTGCGACGTATTCGAATGCGTTACCGTCAGGGCTGAACTCATGGAGGTGAGGACCGGTTTCCTGAGTTGTTGGTTAGTAAATGAGTCCGAATAAATAGTCATATATAAACCCACATCCTGTCCAATTACCAAAAATCCGACACCATATGGACGTCTACCATATTGTTGAGTCGCCAATTGAGCCTTTTCAGCGATTTGAGAGACTATTCTACCAACAGGGATAGGTCTACCATAGAGTAATCTAGATGACATAGCTTGATTGCGCATGTAATTACTCAAAACTCTTGCATCACTCGTCAATCCAGCAATAGCGATACCCAAATGGTCGTCTATTTTGAAAGCTTTTTGTTGATAGCTTGCTAACTCGCCAGTTGAACGCTTTAAAGTGAGTAAAATTGCGTGTGTTTTCGATCTCAATCCGACGGCAGCAGAACCTTGTCTAACAGCTTCTAATGCGTATTCGACCTGGTGTAGCCTACCTTGTGGAGAGAATACGGTGTTGTCTGAATCGTAGGAATTTCTAAAAACCATCTGGGTATTTCAACGTGGGCGTTGCAACGAAAGATGTCACCGAGCCGCGTGGCCTGGTTCGACCGTTACCATAAACAAGTTATAAGAATAAAATGTTAGTACAAACTTTATTTCTCGTTTTATTATTCATTCTTTATATAGGCGTCCACTCACAGAGGACGAAACACGAGCTGTATTCGAGAAGCTCGCAAACTATGTAGTAGGTAGATATATAGACTATTATACAGTCCCATTAACAACCTGCTAGGGAAAAAATCTCGTACACATCATTAATCCATCCGGTGCGTCCTCCAAAGAGGATGTAGAAGACGACGAAGACACAGCACCTCTTCTCAGATTGCAGAAGGATAAGGTTTTCTTGTTGAACACATCTATCAACAACTTAGCTACATCTGTAGCCCGTCCTAACCTCATTAGTCTCGGTCAATGCTTAGGAAAATTCACGAAATCTGGAAAATTTAAACTCGGGATTGGTTCTTTGGATGTACTCGCTAGATGGGCTAGATATAAGGTCTGTGGAGTGTTTACATAATCTTCTATCACTCACACCCACACAGGTCTGGGTAAAGCCAAATGGTGAACTTCCATTCTTATACGGTAACCACGTCGTCAAAGCACATTTGGGTAGAATTACTGAGGATACACCAGAGCATCAAGGTGTTGTAGTACTCAGTATGTCGGATATCCCACTCGGTTTCGGTGTCAGTGCGAGATCAACGGTCGACACTCGCAAGCTTGATCCAACGGGATTGGTTGTATTCCACCAAGCAGATGTTGGTGAATACTTGAGAGATGAGGATACACTCTTTTAGTTTATCGGCTTATAGAATACTTAAGTTATGCATGTACTATATTACACAATTGGTTTTTAGTGATATCACACCTTGATTAGCTCATATCCCATCCGTCTTCATCCAGCGTGAATTGCGACCGCGGTATCTGACTTTGGCTTAGTGTAGCTGGTATATGTGCCCCTCCAAGTCTTCTCATTACCCCAAAGGACTCTACAAAGAACGGCCTGAGTTCATTTATCTCCAGCTGAGAGATTCCAGTCATCGCCATACCAGTATCGTTCATTTTGATGACACCCTCGCGTGATTTCGTTTGTCTTGCTTGTCGTATATCCATCAATAGACTCCGTATAAGAGCAGCATTGTCTAAATCATCACCTGCTACTTCTATGATAGCCTTGGCCGTTTCCAGGTATCTAAATGGCATATCCGCGTATCGTCCATTCGATGTCTCTTCCTTTAGTCTTTCTTGTAAGCTATCTAGGGAGGATAATGAGACAAATGGACGCCTAGAGGTATGGATCTCCTACCAACTGTCAGCCACTCTGGTGCTACAATCGAACATCTCTTCCGCCTTTTAAGATCTAATGCGAGCCAGAGGGGAACTCTTGACTTTGATGGCGGTCTGAATGGACCCCAAATACCCTTAATAGCTTATCAAAACGCGTATATTTGTACTTTATTCATTAACTCACGCTCAACAATCTGATCTGTCCCATAGAGAAATTCGGTACGATTTCAATCACAGTTTCTGAAGTAGCAATAAATGACAGCTCACTTGGCGTGAGTGATTGCTTTTTCTCTGCTGGTAATGACATATCCACTTCTTGGTTGTTGACTATCAAGAGATATGTTGCTATCTAGATTTAGCAGGGCAAATATCAACCTTCGTAAACCTACGATACAGACGAGGTCTCTGCGTAATACATACTTTAAATCTGGAAATCGCGGCTGGCAGGGTGTGAGTATGTCGTTATCTTATCAGGGTTATCTCAATTGTGCAGTTTTATAGAAGAGGTGTAGACCCAAACAATCTCTTCCTTGGTATAATTGGCGCAAACGTCGCTGTATATGGTGTATTTGTATTCAGCGATGCTCAATGGTTTGTAATACTCAACAGAGAAGACAGTTCTGACAGACCCAGGAAACGCTTCAACGATCCAAAATGGATGAGATTCATGCTCAAGAACTTCACAGCCAGGTGGGTGTTTCTGTTACTCGATTAGTGGCATCTAAATGGCGCTTAGTTGGTACAACATATCTTCAGGTCGCATATGGACACTAGTGACTTCTTCTTTTGTGAGGGCTTTATCGAAGTTGTATATAATTCTAATATAACTAGCTACACACTCGTTTAGATTCATTAATATTCAATATGCTCACATTCTACTTCATGGCTCCTCAAGCAATAGCGATGCTCGGTGCACGTACATTCCTCATGCTCTATTGCGGTGGCGGTCTTGCTGCATCTGCAGTCACATTGTCTAATCCATCAAATGGTGCTTCAGGTTGGTTAGATCACATCCTTTGTTCATACTTCTAAAAGCATTTTAGGAGCTGTAGGAAGCACACTCGGATTTTTTGCAGCATCATTCCCAAATGCTACATTCAGCCTCTACTTCCTCCTCCCAGTGCAAGCTTGGATGGCTGTCGGCGGATTAGTCGCTTGGGATGCCTACAACAGCTTCAATTCCCCCTACTCAGCTAATGCACATAAGTCGAGACTTTCTGGAACAGTTGCTGGTGTTGCATTCGCAATGCTCAGGATGAGAGGTATCGGACCACGCATCCCATGGAGATAGACTCTATGGATAACAAAGCGCTCAAATTAAGTAAAATTAAGTCTAATGCCGTTGTACAATGAATTTTATGTAAAGCTTAGATGAGTGGGATTGGAGTGCAGCCAACACCGACGAGACCGTCTTCCTTGACATCTTCACAACAGACCTGAATTAGTTAGTAAAGGAAACGAAAAGCATAGCTTGAAACTCACAGGAGTGTTCTTGCACTCGTCTTCAACGGCAACACCGATGGCCAATGGAATTTGAGTACATTGGATGGCGACTTGGTCGAGGATGTCACCAGTGTGGAGGATACCTGATTCTTCACCGGTTGACTTTTGGACCTTCTTGTTGGTGTCACAGCATGAGATCTTGCCGGTGTTACATGAGCCGGTCTTTGATTCCCAGCCAGCGGAGACTGAAGCGACGATAGCAGCAGCGAAGACGGTTTGAGCGATCATTTTAATAGAAGAGATGAGTTGATTGTAGAGAAAAGTGACGAATCGATTGGCTTTTAAATAGTTAAAATTTAGCTCGCTTTTTAGTTTGAGTTTTAGCGCGCATGCCTAATTCAGGTTATAAATCGCGGAACATGCCTGATTTGGAAAGTCTTGGCTCAACTAGAGCAGGCCGAGACCAAATTAGACTTTATTATCGTTATTATTTTCTGATGATGTACGATACGTCAACATTGATATGTTTGGTGTGTTTCAAACTAAAGTGTTCGATATTAAATAAATTTATTAATATAAACGATGGTATCATATACATATGTACAAATTAGTTTCTAGATATTATTCAATTTCTACTATCAAAGTAGTCTGGGAATACACTACTTATGCTTGGTAGAGAACCCCAGCTGCCTCTCTGGTCTGCAACGTTGTATTGGTATAAATAATGCGGAACCTTTTGTCCTGCTCCCGCCTGCTCGAGGAATCGATTGCGCTGACGGATGGCATCATCAATTTCGGCTTGAGATATCGACGCATCGCGGAAATCTAATGAGAGAATCTGATCACGCTTTCTCTTTTTAAAGGTGGCGTTTATATCAGTAACACTCCCTCTTGCCTTCTCATGTTTCTCTATAGTAGGTTTATTCTCCGATAAGGTATTCTTGTCTTGTCTTGCTATCAAATTGTCGGTGTAAGGTGGTCGAATTTTTTTATTGTAACTGCTGTAAACTGTAAGCAGCTCATTCAGATGTCTCTGTTGAAGTTCCTCTTCCTCCTGTTCATGCCGTTTTCGTATTACTTCAAGCTCATGCACCAGTCTGGCGGCCAGTGTCGTTGATTCTTTAGATATCGCTTCTATGAGGGCATTTCTAGACCTCACAGAGCGCTCTGTTTCCTTCATAGATTGTCACAACGAATTCCAGACTAATCAGCCAGGAATTTGGTTAGCTCTTTAAACATTCCGAGCATATTCATACGTATTCAAATGACATAACTTAATAGGACGGAGATGGAGAGTATATTTGTCTACTTATATTCTCATTTCTCTCATTTCTCTTGCTTTTCACTCTTGTTAAAACCATCATAAGCATTAAAAATCATCGATAAGCATTAACAAGCGCGTCATTGTTCTTCAGAAGATAAAAAGGAGAAAAGAGAAAAAATATTAAGGTGTATTGAACAATACCTTCTCTTATTCGACGCTCAGGTATTCCATACTTGATTGAGATTATTATCGTAGCATTGCCAAGTTTGGAGGACGTTTCCGTTGGCTTTCCTTCCGTCAGTCAAATCAAGACATTGTCCTTGTCCGGTGACTGCGATTCTATTATCACCGGTGTACCAGAAGTTTTGGGCTGGTAGACCGTCATAGCATTGCCAGATCTTTGCCTTGATACCAGAACCTGGGTTTGAGCCAGCGTCTAAACAGAAGTTTCTGTTGGCGACCTAGGTGATTCTAATTAGAGTAGTGTTCCATAGGCTAATAAGCGCCCACTTTAACAGATGTCTGACCTTTTCTGATGACGAATTTTTGGGCGTCTGTGCCATTGCAGTCATAGCTATTATTGCAACGTTAGAAAACTCTCTAACGGGCATCTCATAACTTACATTTGGACTGGCGTTCCATTTCCGAAGCTTGCACCAGCGACGTCTACACACCTGAATCACTATTAGTTGTTACAATAAACTATGTGTAAGACTCACTTTGAGGTGTCTCCATTAGGGTGGATGGCGACACCTACTTCACCTGTTGGTGTTGGTGGTGTTGTTGAGGTGTTGCTAGGTGGAGGTGGTGCACCGAATGCGTCACCTTGTGGAAGTGCAGCAACGAGTGATGCAATGGCTGCGATGGAGATGATTTGAAGCTTCATTTGTGTTCTTGTGTTGTTGGCCTTGTTCTTTGATGTTTTAAAAGAAGGTCAAATGTTGGCTTTTTATATGTTTCCAGCGGCGGCCTGGAGCTGTGTTGAGCGGTTGTGTGAATATCTAAGATACCTCTTGTATGGCCAGCTCGTATGTCCGAGACATCATCACAAGCTCACTGAGACCTATTCGAGTACCTTTTCTCGCACAAAGAAATTAAGGTACGCATCATCTGACGATCCTTTCGAGAAACAAAAATTTTAAAGCTGTGAAGTACACCAGCTGATAATCTGGTCAAAGCTGTACTTATTTTATTTCACACGCGTTTTGTGATAATGCAAAAAAAAGTATGAATAAATAATTAACTAAGTTTATGAGAGGTATAATGCTATGCTTTGACTATGAATGAAAATGGTACGAGCCACCTCCATGTTTCCCATTCAGCGAGATCCTGCATTGGACCAAATCCTAAGAGCGCTTGTCTAGCCATATGCAATGCAGGGAAGTAGAGTATTATGAACATCCACAAAGCACCATAGATACCTCCTACTTTTCTGCCGGTATACTCCTTAATAGCTTTTTCAAGTACGATTGCCAAACCAGATCTAGATTAACATTTTAGCGACAAATTAAGTACTTAACTTTAAACTCACGTCAGGTAAAAGTTAAAGCTGGGATATATGCCATACATCAGTTGCTTACCTGATGTACATCTCATGCAGTATTCGTGGAGGATACCACTAATGACGAAACCATTGATGACCCCACAATAATGAGCCACGTCCCCTGGTATCCTCAACCACTTGATGGTATAGAATATTGGTTTATAGCCGCATATCATAAAATGACGACGTAGGGCACATTGCCATCTTTCATTCCAAAATTGTCCTACCGAGTCAGCAGTGAGTGGATTTCCAAAGAATGGTGGCCATCTTTGAGTGTCAAACTGTAAACCGAACGCTTTTTTGAATCCATATACAAAGAAGGCTAATAAATGATAAGCCAAACTCACACAAGACCAACCTAGAGCGCCAATAGCAAGTGTGATTGCGAAGTCACACCCTATTAGCTCTATAAGTGTCTTTCCATGATTGTGATCGCCAAAACGAGTAAGTGTGGCCATCGCACCTATCGAAATGATGTGTTGCTTGGAAATTTCTATAAGCGAGCTCTTAAAGAAGGTATCATATGCCTGAGGAAGCTTCTCATGGGGGATTCCCCAAGTCATTCCTATTCCTCTCATGCTTAATCAGGTTAGATTATGTGCGTGATATCATGAGCACCTACTTCGTCAACATCTCAAAAGCGCCAGACCAACCAAGGTCACTATGTCCGTGCTGGCTAAATGAAATAATTTTTGGCGCATCAATCATGCTCCTATCGGTGAACGTCAGGTGGACTGAATGCATACAAGAGCAAAATATGACGAGATTGTAGATGAATCCAGCTACGAAATTATCATGAAGGTATATCGGCTGCCCCTTGCTACCTATCAGCATGGCACCAGATAGGAGTAAGATTCTAAAACATGTGTTCAAATACGACGGTTTAGCTACGAGTAGCCTAGCTTGAATCGGCAATAACAACAAGATAGAACAATCTGGTATTGGTAGCTTTGGTATACTGTAGAGGATTGCAAGTATTTCCTGCAGCATTATTTCACTTCGCTGTTTGTGAAATGCATTCAAATTGAAACTTTACAATTCACACCAAGAATGTGACATTCCGGTACTAGGAGAAATATTTCTGTGCATCAAGAATTTTATAGCATTCGTAAATTTCTACTACTTATGTAATTTGATAATAATCAAATTACTGATGGGCGTTTTGTCATAAGCTGTCAAAAGACAATGGCGAAGGAAAGGCATATGATAACTGAAAAGAGCACCACACAGTCTAACCTTAAATGCAAAAACCAGCTAGTATTAAGTAATTTAGATTATAAAACCTGTTCATAGCCTTTCGGCTTCTTCATTTACACTATAATCTATTCAAGTAGAATTTATAATTTAAGCAGCTATAATTGGTACCATCAAGTTATTCTTGTTTTTATACTTAAATAATATATTGGGCGATAAAAGTGATATACTATGAGCTATTCCTACAGTATGATACAATTATCTTGATGATAAGAGCGTCTTATGGTCTTAATTATTGCATTGACAGTTCGCCAACGATAATGGATGATGGTATGTAGCTCTTCTGACCAATGATATTGTCTTCGATACCTATCCAATAATGAGAAAAGCAGCTCAGCACTTAACAAAATAAAACCCAATCTTGAGCGTGACTTACTTACTATTCCTCTCACGTGCTTCTATAAAAACAATGTTCATAGTGGACGACTATGGTTTTCATGTATTTGAGGGCCGTACAGAACATATGCTACATGTCGGTATGAGGAATCACTTTGCTTCTCTTCAATCTTATCTCGTTCATCATTACTACACTTGAGATCAAAAGGTGATACCATATTATCAAATAACACATCAGGATCTTCCAGTTGTTGACATTAAATAAATTTACAGAAAATCTGCTCTCGACCTAATGTCCCAGTATGTCAGATATATCACAACCATACGTCAAGAAACGAAATATAAGGTAAAGAGACTTAAGAGGGTCGTGAAGGAAAATTCTATCACGAAAAGTGAAATCTAGGTGATGTTATTATAGTAATGCACAGATCATGTGCAACTCAACAATCAATTAGAAACCACTCAAATGTAAATTACAACGATGGCTTTGCAAACTTTTCGCTGAAGACATACAACACGTTTCTTATCTTGTTTCATGTAAAGCTCTTAATCTGACGATACTCGAGCTGGGGTACTGTCAATTTGTCAATCTGGATATCCTTTCCACCCGCACCAGTCACCGAACTCAAGATTGGTGGAGCATTCGATGTTCCAGCTGCACAACCTATCTAACCACCCGATCGAGGGGCACTGTCTAAATATACGCTCCTATACGTCTTATAGGTCATGCGAATAGCCACACCGTGCAAACCAATACTTGTGGTGGACTGTTGTTCATGTACCATGCTATCGACATCCAAAATTTTTTACAACTAATACGTATTGGGTTTAGTAGCAGTGATGTTATTAAAATACCAGGTATCACTTAGAAAATAAAGATACCTGGTGCAAAAATTATATATATTATTGTCAAAACTCCTGAAAATGAACTCTAATATCTATCAACTGTAGCTGTCTTCAACGTTTAACATCCATTTATTTCTGATGATGATTAATCTAAATATATTGTTAAATAGATACAATATTTAGCTGCGTCCATCAATAATTTTAAAGAGGATTTGAAGGGTTTGCCGAATTTGCTGGAAGCGTTTCTCGATAGTGCCGTGAAATGTCTTGATGAGCTATGTTTCTGCTATTGTTCTCGGTTACGCTAAACCACCGGTGTATTTTGGGTGTCATTTTGGATAAATTTTGCTAAAATTTTCTTGGGAGTTTTAGAACATGCTTGATACAAAATTTGCCTATGACAAAAGCTGTCAGATCATCCGGATAGTCCAGCGGGTTATCAAGTGAAAAATTTCACATGCTATGTTGAGGTCCCAGGTTCGATTCCTGGTAGATGCACACGCATCTGTAGCTCAGCGGTAGTAGCGCAACACTAGTATTGGGTGATCTTTTTGCTTTTTGCCCTTCTATTGCGTTATGATTTTCGCTATTTTTTGAAGGATAGTCTGCTTGTGATTACAACAAATTCTAGCTAATTTGTCTGCATATACGTAGCACGAAAGGATACTTTCTATGTATAAGTAGCCGCCATAAGCAAGTGTCATTAGATAACGTCGGCATCCACCTATATGTGGTACTCTTTCCGTCTGATAAAAATCCGTAACAACTATTATTCCCTTCATGGGCACATAAATGTATAGAATATACATAAACAGTCATAATTCTCTAAAAGCCAGTAGTGTTTAGACTGTTTATTAATCCATAGTACACTAATGATTGACTTAGTTCAATATTGTAGTGTATGTTTCGTAGTCTCTACATTATTCCACTTGATTAGCAACATAACAGATTGCCAGTGTCAAAGGTATTCTACTGCAAATAAAATCTGCATGTTTCTTTAGTTGTCGTCCACTGATTAGTTTACCTTTGCACAGAGGAGTGGCGCAGTACTTCTGACTAGTATGATAGTGTACTTGAATTAGAACTTGTTTGTAGACAATTCTACTGTATTTGTCAAAAGTTGATTATAATGTATAGCTTAGTTGTGCATGTGGATAAAGCAATACAATACACCGTTCATACCTTGTGTTGGTCTGTAATATCAAACGCGCTTTATCATTGGTTGAAAAGGTATGAAGTATAATGTGATCTTAAGTAGATGGCTTTTTGGTACAAGATATGGTTTCTTACATAGTTTTCATTGTTGCCCGAATATCATTGTTGTTGGCCGTACATCCGTTTTCTTGCCCGTATCCATTGTTGTTTCGCGAGTATCCGTGGGTGATCGCCTTTCCCTTTTTGTCCCTAGTTACTAAATGATGCTGTATGCCCAGCTCTGTATCGGTACTCTGTTGGAAACCAGGTACTGGGGCTGGACATACAGCATCATTTAGTAACTAGGGATGGACGGAACAAGAATGCGCAGTGAAAACAGGATGAACGCCAAGGCTCGATAAGGTTGAGGAAAACAGGGAACATGCGGACAGTGAAGACTATGTAAGACGATCATCTTGTACACAAACCATAACCTGAATGATCATAACATTTTTTCACAACCAATAATTAGCGTGTTTAATATTTACAAACCAACAATATATAGATAAAACACCCTTGTACAGATACATTATTTTATATGATCAACACTTGAAACTTGAAACATATTCTATGATTCAACAACGTATTAGCTCCAATACTCAACACGCCGAAGTATCATTATGAGCCAAACCAAGATGCAAAATACACCGAATATCGTCATATCATACTAAGAAAGATAAACCAATGTAATATCCAGAAAGGAAGATTTGCTCAAAGTCAAAAAGCCTATATATCTTGTACGAAACGATCTCATTAGGCAATCTTACAATAACCAAATAGAAGATACCAATAGTTAGAAGGCACAAAAGAAAAACCCCACAATAGAAGTGTTGGACGACAAACAGGTGCGATCACATTTGCAGATCGAAAACCGAAATAGCAAACCCTACAGTAAATATTATTTCTTTTTTTTAAAAAAAAATACTTCTCAATTTGTGACTATTTTATTACCGACTATCTCAAGTGGCATCTTCAATCGAATAGATACAATTTGTGACATCTCGGCAGCTGAACAAATTCAAGAATATCTGTGAAGTTTTGAACCAGGAGAGAGCTTGGAAGGATTACTTACAGAGTCTGCCAATAGCAAATAGAGTTATGGTGAGATTACAAAGACATCATTTTGAGAATGAAAAGCAGCATTTGACAAATTGCAAAAATTATATTCACTTATGAGAAGACAAGCTCAGGAAAATAAAGCACCACTAGCACTATATGAAGCACAGAAGACAGTACATATTCTTCAACACAGGATGAGGAATACGGGCAAAAATTCTGCAAATAAAAAACAACCCCTTCACCGTAGTCGAATACTCTACCATTGAGCCAGCCGGCCTTGACCGACGCAGGGCTCGAACCTGCAACCTTTCGATAGCGAGTGAACTCTTTGAGTTATCGGGATTGTGTCAAAATTCCTCTTCAAGCTTGTCTAAACCCATTGCACAAAATAAAAATCTCAACTCCACATCGTGGATTTTGGCATCATTTGGTCAAGTCTCATGATCCGAGTGCGTCTTTCAAGTATGGGCTTTTTTATGTTCCATCTCGTTGCGTTCTGCCTCCTACGAGTCATATCT